AATATCAGTAATAATCTCTTGTATAAATATGATGAGAGATCATTATTATCTTCATTATATATAAATAATTTCTAATCATGATAATACTTCTTAATTATAATTATTTTTATTATTATTTTTAGTAGATTTATAACATCTTCGACATTGTATAACTCCCACCAGTAGAAAGAAACAATGATGAAAAGAAATTGCTAAACCCACTCATCGAGGTTGTGCAGGAAGAATAAAAGACTGGGGGAAGCAATGCTTGACGTATAAATAATATAAACATGAAAGGATTGCAGACTCAAAGGGTCACAAAAATGTACGTCTTTTGGTATTGTTGTCTAAAGCAATGGCTAGCAACAAAGTACACAACCTAAGTAGCTCTTTCCTGGGTGAAGGATCTCTAATTCTCAATCAACAATACATGGAGGAGAGAAAAAGGCAACATCTTCGCAGTGAAGGAAAGTACCATTTCTCATGTCCTACTTATTTATGAAACGATCTCCTTCATTGACTTTATATCCTTTTAAAGGATTTTGCTTTAGATAGTTCTTGACGAGAATATGAGTGATTTGTCCGCTTTTTAGAGTTGTTATTTTTTAAAATATTTTTTAATATCAATATATTATAACCATTAAAAATATTAATTTAAAATAAACAAACTTTAATCTTAAAAAAAAAACATGATTTAACTACGAAAACAAACACTATTTTAATTTTATAATAACAAGATTTTTATTGGTTTTCTTCCAAACCCAACTCATTAAAATCTCTCAACAATTCATGGACATTCATCTCTCTTGCAAAATAGGGAGGAGGAACGCCATGTCTTTGTTTCAAGTATCGTCTTTGCTATCCTTTCATTTTTATTTTTTTGTTGAAATATTCAACAAAAAAAAACATTAATTCCCCTAACAAATTGAGCAAATACACGTAAGAAAAGAAAAAAGAAGCCATGTGGGCTCGTTAAAACATCTTATAATTAATAAGAATTGATGTCTACCACTCTGGAAAGTGAAGACTGGAGGCTCTTTAGCATTGAGGTTCCTTAAAGCACTTTTTTTTCTTTTTTCTTATATATATATATATATATAAGAAAAAGGAAAAAAAAGTGCTTTAAGTCTTAAAATCCAGAGCCACTAGCTACAAGAAAAAAAGTAGAAGCAATACAAAGAAAAGGAAACGGGTAAGAAATCGTTTTGTAGCTTTGCAATTTACTTTGAGAAGTTAATTAATGATAATTTGCCTTGGCATGGTGTCTGTAGTGGTGCAATGGCAGGAAAGATACCAATTATTTGGTCCATGCTATTTTCCCTGTTCAAAAAACTTGAATGGTCCCGTTAAAGAATAAGGCCTATTATCACCTTGTCCATAGCCACTGCCTGCCTTTCCCCCCTACACGTTGCTTGCATGAAAGGACTGTATATCATTTCTTTACACGTTAGCTTACATCGATAATTATATTTTCCCAGAGAAAAAAAATCAAGATTTTATTTTGTTTGATAGTTAAAGATATTATTAAATCAAGTTATACATCAATCAAGATTAAGTTTTCTTGCTATTTTGATCTCATAAGTATCTTTACCTTTGTTATATCTCTTTGCTGCGTTCATCGGGTGCAACACAAAATGCCCAGAGCTTCTTTGAAATTATCGAATTTCAAGCAGAGATGTACATGCAAACAGTGGCGGAGGCAGGGGGCTCCCAGGGATCCGGCTACCGCAAGAAAATATTTTTTTCAGTTTTTTTCTCGTAAATATTTATAATTTTAGTAAAAATAACTGAAATTTTAATTTTTTTAATTTAAACCCTTTAATTTTTTTTCTCGCTCCGCCCCTTCATGCAAAGCAAGAAGCAAAGTCTTTTGTTCACTACCTTTTTTTTTTTTTTTAATTTCCTGTGTTTAACTTTCGTATATAAAATAAGTAAATATCACATCATATGACTTCATTCATGCGAGGAGGTGTCTGTCCCAAAATGAAAAACCTTCTGAATTTTGAAGATACAATAATTACGAAAAAGGACCAACCTAGCAAATAGTACCCTATATTATGGAATACTCTAAAACGCGTGGGTTTTCACTATAGCAGTAGTTTTTTTTTTCTTTTGTTTCTTCTGTTTTTTACATATAGTGTTTCACTGTACACAGTAAACACTTGACTTTTTCTTTTTTTTTTTTTACGTTTTCGTTTTTCTTTTGCTTATGAGTTTTTTTTTTTGCTTTGTTTGTGTTTTTTTCTTTTGATGAATTTTTTTGTTAATTTAGTTTGTTAATGTGAATTTTTTTTATTTAATTATCATATTTTTATTATACGAATCTCAAGTTTGATGAGTTAACTTGATTTTTTTTTTAATCAATTTTTTTGCTTGACCCATTGATTTTTTTTTCCTATTTAGTTAGTAAATTTTCATGATGTGAATCTTAAGTTTGACAGATGAACCTGATTTGACGAGTTAACTCAGTTAATTCAGATTTTTTTTTCTTTTTTCTCATTGATAATATGCTCATATCTTTTGTTTGTTTTTGTTTTTTAATTAACTTTAAAACGCGTGGGTTTTTTACTGTAGCAGTAGTTTTTTTTTCTCGCTTTTTTTTCTTCTGTTTTTTACATATAATGTATCACTATACACACTGTGCATGGTGAAACACTTGACTTTTTCTCTTTTTTTTTCATTTTTGTTTTTGTTTTTTTTTTGTTTTGCATATGGGTTTTTTTTTGCTTTTTTTTGTGTTTTTTTTATGAATTTGTTTTGTTAAATTTAGTTTATTAATGTGAAATTTTTTTATTTAGTTATCATATTTTTATTACACGGATCTCAAGTTTGACGAGTTAACCTGAATTTTTTTTCCCTTTTTAATCAATTTTTTTCGTTTGACCCATTGATTTTTTTTTTCTATTTAGTTAGCAAACTTTCTTAACATGAATCTCAGGTTTGACAGGTGAACCTGATTTGACGGGTTAACTTAGTCGATTCAGATTTTTTTTCTTTTTTCTCATTGGTAATATACTTATGTATTTTGTTTATTTTTGTTTTTTTAATTAATTGTTTTTTGTTTAGTTTATGTTGTTAATGTTCACTTTTTTTTTCTATTTCTTTTAATGAATTTTTTTGTTTAATTTAGTTTGTTCATGTGAAAAAAAATTTATTTAGTTATCATACTTTAACGACACAGATCTCGGGTTTGACGTGTTAACCTGATTTTTTTTCCTTTTTAATCAATTTTTTTTGTTTAGTTTAGTTTGTTAATTTTTTTTTGTTTGACTTATTTGATTTTTTTTTCTGTTTAGTTATCAAATTTCTATGACGCGTATCCCAGATTTGACGGGTTAACCTGATTTGATAGGTTAACTTAGTTGATTCAGATTTTTTTTCTTTTTTCTCATTATTAACAGGCTTATGTCTTTTTGTTTGTTTTTTTTTTTTTTTTATTTTTAATTAATTTTTTCATTTAGTTTAGGTTGTTAATGTTTAATTTTTTTTTTCTATTTAGTTATCAGACTTTCATGACATGGATCTCGGGTTTGACAGGTAACCTGGTTTGACAAGTTAGCCCGGTTAATTTTGGGTTAACCCATCAATTTTTTTTTCTATTTAGTTATTAAATTTTCACGGCATAAATCCAAGATTTGACGGGTTAACCCAGTTAATTAAGATTTTTTTCTTTTTCTTCATTAATTTTTTTTTCTATTGGTTTTTTTCTATTCAATTAATTTATTTAATTATCATACTTTTATAACATGACCTTGCAACCAGATTTACATCCAAGGTTATTGAGTATGGTATTAGAGCGAGATCTATTGGGTTATGCAAGTTTATTATTATTATTATTATTATAATATTATTTTTGGGTCAGATATTATAGTCACACCTAAAATTTTTAGATAAAACTTTACAGAAAGATTTAATATTTTTAAATTTTAATTTTTTTATATTTTTTATAAAAAAAAATTAATTCACTGCATCGCACGGTTACGTGACTAGTATTTATATACTGCATGTGCCTCATCTTAATTCAATCCTACGTGTACATATATTAATGTCCATCGACAAAATGCTTTTTGTTTACTTGCACGTGTTTAACAGTACTTGTGTCCTAATTAAGAATATTAGACGCTTCGTATTTCAGTAAAAGCAAAAAAAAGGCAAAGGCAATTTAGTGGTTAAATTAAAAAACTTCTATTTTCAATTTATTTAGCTAAAAATAGGCTTGCAAAATAACATCTATATATATATATATATATAGTGTAACCCCTAAATTCTTTTTATTGAGAAAAAAAAAAGACGATAGAAGAAGCAGGTGCGAGTACTATTAATTTATTATTCACAATCTTAAAAAAAGGAGGGATTTAATTATGGCTGAATATTGGAAATATTTAAATTTGCTCGTTCTAGTTATGAAGGACTTCATCTTTTTTTCTCCCCCAACGTTTGAAATTGAACTTGATTAATGAAGGTATACTCAGGATATTAAAAGTTTATTTAAGAATGTAATTACAATTATTTTTTAAAATATTTTTATACCAAAATGTATTGAAATGATATTTTTTTATTTTTAAAAAAATATTTTTAATATCAATTTATGAAAACAATTCAAAATATAAAAAAAATTAAATTTTTAAAAAATATTATTTACACCGCATTTTCAAATGATGCTCAAGCTGATCAGGATTGTAATTATAAATAGCTAGTGAATAATTTTCTTACTTTCGAATCCCATGTTATGAAACAAATCCATTTACCACCAAGTCCTACCCTTAAAAAAATTATTTCTTCTTCTATTGGTCGTAACTTTTAAGGAAGAAGTTTTACCGTGAGATTTATCTGAAGATCATGAACAAACCTAATTTGAGCAACAATCTCTTTGTCCTGCTTTTCTTTCTTCTTTTTTTTTTTAAAAAAAATTATTTGTTTAATAGCCTTTTGTCAAACTGCATCCTTTCTTGTTCTAAAGTGTGCCATAAAAAAACATTGTTGCCTTTAGACATGCCTCAACATCAAGATTACTATAAAGAGCCCTCTCTTTTCTCCTCCAACACACCCAACCCGATTACCTCTAGTGCATTGCAAACAGCTGCCTTTGGTTGCTTTACCCTTACCTTGTTTTAGTTGCCATAGGCCAATTTCCTTTCAAGAGAGGTTTTCGTATGGAAACGTTCAACTTTGTAAGAGATGGAATGAGCGGATTGCCTCCTGGTTTTCGCTTCCAGCCAACTGAAGAAGAGCTTGTCTTTCAGTACCTTAAACGCAAAATCCTTTCATGGCCATTGCCTGCTTCAGTCATTCCTGAGGTCAATGTCTGCAAGTATGATCCCTGGGAACTGCCAGGTTAGTCTACTGCTCTAATAGTGTTGCATTAATATTCAATATTTTTCCTGTAAAAATCCTGCCTGCACTGAAAGTTAAAAGAAGTAATCATGCATGTGTTATAGGTGACATGGAGCAAGAAAGATACTTCTTCAGCAACAAGGAGGCCAAGTATCCAAATGGAAACAGGGTCAACAGAGCTAGTTCGTCAGGTTATTGGAAAGCAACTGGCTTAGACAAACAAATAGTTTCTTCAAGCTGGAAGAATAACCATGTTGTAGGGATGAAAAAGACACTTGTTTTTTACAGAGGGAAGGCTCCACATGGATCCAGAACTGACTGGGTCATGCATGAATATCGCCTTGTTAATTTAGGAGTAGAAACTACAGATAGCAATTTTCCACAGACAGAAAACTCAGCCCAGGCAAGTTACCATTGCATATTTTAAGCAACAGTAAATAGTTTTCTCTGCTCATGCCAGCAAAATATTTTCATATTTTATAAAGTTTCTGAGTAAGGAATGTCGATCACTTTCCTCTTTCTATTCGCCGAATAACATTAAGCTTGATGTCCACAGCAGAATTCGTCTTTTCAAATGGACAAATGGGTTGTATGCCGAATATTCCTGAAAAACAAAGGCACAGCAACAACTGAGACAATTGAAACTCGTACAAATGACAAGGTTGGGGGAACTCAGCCAATACTCCTTGATTTTATGGGGAGAGACGAGATTGTTTTTGATTCTGTCTCGTCTGCATGTTCGAGCTCTAGTAGTCTTGCTGGCATCTCTTCAAATGAACAAGACCATGAGCAAAGCAGTAGCCGCAATTTCTTTTGAATGACTAGCTTTTTTATGTCCTCAGATGTCCTGTCTTCTGTTTGTCCACTAAGGTAAATGGATATATTATTACATATATATATATATATATATATATATATATATATATATATATATATATATATATATATATATAGAAGAAAATTATGTAACAATTTCTTGGAAGGTACATTAGTAGAATGGATATTGTTTGTTTTAATTTGCAGACTCAAAATGCGGAGAAAATACTGTGCGCATTTTTCTCTGAAAAAAAAAAAATAGACGACGATTTTTCTGTGCCAGCAAATATGACGGAAGACAACCATCCATATCTTACTTAGCACACAGGAAAAAGAAAAAATCGGGTTTTATATATTATAAAATTAAAGAAAGAATTTCTCTCTGACTTGATTCTTGAATGTCAAAAAAATATAATGCCAATAATATACAAAATTATTTAAATAGTATATACTAAATAGACCTTAGCTAGAAGGGAAAGGAATAAAAAAATAACAAGAAAAATTAAAAACAAATAATAAGAAAAATAAAAAAATCAACTTTTAAACCTAATTTAAGCATGGAAATGACCTTTCCTACTTCATAGGGAAATGAGCTCCTTGTAAAATCTTAATCAAATTCAATAATTATTTTAAAAATTATACATGTTTTTATTATAAAGTTTAATAGACTCGTTCAGATTATTATTTTTTAATTTAGACTTATCAATCTGATCTAGAAGACATGTTTGATAGAGATTCCACATCAATATCTCTCATTTAGAGAATCTCAAGCTCAAGCCTCTCTTATAAAAATTAAAAAAATATCAGATATATACTGCTTCCAAGATTTTATTAACACTTTAACTGTTGATATAATTAAAAAGACAAAAAAATTTCCAAAGAGGACAAAATGTTCAGCAAATATTTGGTTTGATGTATCCAGATTTAATTTGAATTAAAACCAGTACTCTCCAGTCGGGCCAGTTTTACCCTAGCTGATATGAATGTACTAAAATGCAACAGCATTTAAACCAGATGGAACAAGAGTAACATTTTAGAAAACGAAGGACCGAAAGGCAATACTTGAGGAAAACTTCTTGTACAAATTCGAATCTTATATATAATAGCAAGAATATCAGCACATGGTGTTCACCTTCAATATATAATTCCCCATCCGAAATTCTGGAAAGTTAAATTCCTATATATCTGCAGAGGAATTGATACTCATGAGTCGGACAAGCATAATTCAGGCTAAAACTTTTAATTAATCCCTTTATTTATATTTCTGGCAGGAGTGAGAAAAAAATCAAAAAACTAATTAAATTAAAAAATTATAAAAATTAAATAAAAAAAACTAATTAAAAAAATTAAAATAAAAAAATCGGTTTGTTCGGTTCAATTTTATAAAAAAACCAAATCATACAAAAAAAATCAAGTCAAACTGAACCAAAATCAATAAAATCAAGCCAAAATTAAACTAAACTTAAAAATTAAGCTAAACCAATTTCAACTAACCAATTTAAACTAATTATAATTTAATTTCAGTTTTTTAATACATTTTTAATTTTATTATTTTTTTATAAAAACTAAACCACGCCAAAACCAACCACCTTCATTTCTGAGTTAAGCTAGAGTCGAGTATTGAATCAGGTTCCTCAGAGTAAATAAATTATAGCAATATCATGCATGGGTGGAGATGCCCTCCTCCACACGTCATGAATCTTCTTAAGGCTAAGCCCTAGTTCTTCGTTTCTAGTGATCTTAGATTCCTCTGCTGGATAGGTTTTTCTTGTACTTTGTCTGCTACTTTGTCCGAAGTTAATCCATCTACGCTGTTCTTCCACGTGGCAAGTGAAGTACTTGAAGCCTGACGGTGCATATGGAACATATGACGCAGGCAAAAGCTTCATGAACAAAAACAACACGCAAGATTTGATGGGCAAGGAAAAATACAAATTTCAACTTTAAAATTTTAAATTCATTGCTTTATTCTTAAAAAAATAAATAAAATAGTAGTTGTCTTCTCGTAGATTCGCAGGACTCTTAAATACATGAAAAAAAAACTCTATATCTAGTATGAAACAACTAATAATCAGCATAATTTTTTTTTAAATCTGAAATAAAACAATAAAGCTGAAAAAACTTTGGAAAATAATAAAATCAATTCAAGCAATAACTTCTACAACTAATTCTAAGAAATTCAATAATTTTATATACGGATGAATTATTTTGTATTAAAAAATTGCTTGTTGAATTATATATAAAAATTTAAATCTGGTTCAATGATTAAAATTTAAATTAATAGCCTCTAGTTTGATGCAATTATATATTCTCATTGGCTAGATCTTTTCTTCTAGCTTATAAATATAATATTAGAGTATAAATTCCCTTTTAGATATATCATATACTCAACTAAATAGTCAAATCCATACATGCATACGTAACTTCGTTGCCATCTTTTTTTTTTTTATTTTTGTTCAAAGCCATTGAAAATTTGTAGAACAAGATTGGGTCAAATTGATTTTGATAATGACACCATCCTCAAAAACTCACACACTTCAGGGTGCGCAGCATGGACTTTAGAAGGCTCGGAGTGAGTGAGATGCCGTACATATCAGCATCATCGATAGGGCTAGCTGGTCTACATGAAAAAATTCAGGAGTTAATTTTTGAAAGAATACTGCTTCGATAATATTTGTTACGTAACAAGATTCAGATCATAGCTGAAGACAACTATTTTCGTGTTCCAAAATTAGGGTGGTGTTAAATTCAGGGTCCCAATATTCTTAACCTGCGGAGAACATTTGAGCTGTTGAGGCATTTTCCAGTTATTCAGGAGCATGACTAGTTTTAGCAATTGTAAGAATCCTGTCAGAGCGCCCCAAGGGCCTAAAACAAGGAGGTAAAAGCAGTAGCATACATATCCTTCCACATGCCATCTACAGCAGAGTTTTTTTTTTTTTTTCATAGCTGTAGGGAGGCTCAAACTTGACTCTTTCAATTGATATAAAAAGTAAAGGCTCACCAATAGAACATGATTTCCTATAAATGGATGTAACGATGCCTGAAATCCTCTAATTTCCCATAAATGGCCATGGACAACTGTGAAAACAGTCTGTACGGACCTATCCGAATGTAATAAATCCTAAAATCTCACGTCAAAATTATCTTACATATCTCTTCGCCCACTCCATGCACAATTCATTCGATTCTCTATCTCCCAAGTGTGACAGAAACAAAAACGTACACTTGGTTCTCCAATGGGGTGTGGTGGATCAAGGCCTGACAATAGAGCTGATGTGTTGCCAGCCAAACTTCGGCCCCTTCTCTGGAAGAGGTATGAGGAGATGAAAAGACAGAAAAATGCACGTATTGTGAAAGATTCACCCAACCATTCTAAGAAAGAACTGCTTAAAGATGGCGTTTCCGATGGTGATAGCTCTAGTCATCATCACTTTCCAAGAGATAATGATCGCAGGAGTGTATCCTCACAAGAGGATGATGTAAAGGTGGCACCGGCCCCAGAATGTGATGAAACAACGATTGAAAATGTTAAGATTGCCAAGGCTGTGGAATTAAAACCAGAATTCAACAAACAATGTGAACAAGCAACATTGCCTGCAGGCTCTCTAAATATGATCTCAAATGAAACAAGCACACAAATGAAGGAGGTAGAAACACCAGTGGCAGGGTCTCAAGGCTTGGCATCAGCAGTACCGTATAATAATGAAACGAGCGACAAACAAGATAGCAAACATGGAGAAGATGGAGAGGACAGGACCTTGGAGGCAATGGACACAGCCATGAAAAATGTGAATGGAATAAAAATGTGTGGAGACAAGAATGAACAGGATTCGGAAGTAGAAGATGAACTCAGAAGCATGGATGAAAGTTGCATATGTCCAGGATCGCCGAGTTTCAGAGTATATTTTATTGAATCATCGACTAATACAGATGACGAAGGTAATTTATCTGTAATAGCATTCAGCTCTTATATATTTTGACAAACTACACACGATTGAAAACTATCAAACCAATTAAAGTCACTACAAGCTTACTCACCATGAATGGTGGCTGTAATCTTGCAGATAAGGATGATGACACAGACAAAAAATCATCAAGTGATCAGGACAGCAGCGAGGTCATTGAATCAGTGAATTCTAATGAGGTATATATGGTTCTTATCAGCTCTAAAGAAAATCCTTGAGCCTCTCTCTATCTTTTTCAAAATGACCATTATGAAAAGCTATTGAGCAGAAATCTGGTTTCGTACTCATCTTTACACAATAATTAAGTGAACAACTCATGCAGAAATACAAATACAAATGTACTGGACAACTTCCTCTGATAAGCAAACCAGAAACTGAATTCATAAAAATGAGCATGCCCATCAAGATTTATTACTTACGTTTTATAACATTGTAAAAAAACTTATATTTTCTTTGTTTTTCTCCTTCAGCTCTCAGGGACCATCGAAAAGAAGAAAGGAAAGAGAGGGCGAAGATTCAGGGTCATTCCTAAGGGAAAGAATCTGCTTAAAGTTAAATCATGCTACTATCCCACTTGCTCTGGTGGCCATGATAAAGCTCGTCTTCTTAGCCAATAAGAAGTCGATCGATTATGCTAGGAAGATTGAAGGAAGCCCTAAGATTTTTTTGGGTGTTCCTTTTCGCCTTCTGTAGTCACAATCCTGTTCTTCGCAATGATAGGAAATTGCTTCGATCATCAAGTGTTTTCATAACAACTAGTCAGCCATGACTGTATAGGTGTAAAGTATTGTGTTTTTTTTTTTTTTGAGAAATTTGTCAAAGAAACCATTTTCCTTCCTCCATCTACCAATGATGCAAACAAATTTCAATAAATTTGATAATTATGTCAATCATGTTCAATTGAAAGTGCCATTGTATGGAAACAGAATCAAGACCATTGAAGCATCGTATGATGTCGAAGTTCCAAAGAACTGCAGTGCATTTGGATGAGTTTTGTGGAATCTTTTATCCTCAATGAATATATGCAGATTCT